CTCAAACATGGAGTTGGAGCAGCGGTGAGACCTTCTTCATTCAGAACTGCTTTGAGGACTCCATCTTTGAGGCATGGCCAGTCTCCGGATTGAAGTTGACGGCAGAACTAGAGTTTCTGGACATCCACATGGACAAGGTAAAACAAATTTTTCCTAAAAAAAAAAAGAAACTAAATTTAAATCGTCTTTGAAGGCAGGAAATCCATTTTATCTCCTCAAAAAAGCATTGGGGCAGTGAGATATCACGCACTTCTAAGAAAGTGGAGAATTTAAACTTCTATCCACTGGGACTTTTGAAGTCGGGGACTCAAAAAAGAGGCCGCGGATAACGAGGCTTATCCTTTTAATAGTCGATGGCTATTTCTTAGGCCTAGGATAACGAGGCTTATCCTTCTAATAGTCGAGGAGCTATTACAAATTCAGCACTATGGACGCATACGTGTAGTTGGAAAACCAGATCTGGCCATTTGAGGGAAAATGGAACATTTTGAGAGTGGTGATTTTTTCTTCAGCTGATTAGTGACTTTTTGGTAGAACTTTGTGGTAGCCTGCATAATAAGACAACAATTTTTCTAAATAATAATTTAAATTGGAAATTGAAATTTGGATATAAGGCCTAAAGTGTGAGTGTGTGTGTGCGTGCACGTTTGAGGTGCATCCTTTGTGTCCCCTTCTGCCTTTCCCCCTTCCCCTCATCCCCCTTCTCCCTTGCTCCCAATTCTGTCCCTCCCATCTGCTCAACTGTGACAAAGAATAGTTAAGTGGAGTAGTTTGTGATAGTTTAACTACTTTCGTTAATGCTTGCTATATTGACAAAAATAATTAAAAAGGGGTGGAACCAGTGATAAACATTTTACTGGTGAAAACATTTGGTAATGAGATTAGAGAATCATAGATAGATTTGAATTGACTTGAGCTGTGAAATTTTTGTGATTGGACAATTTTAAAGTTACTACATTTGGTACAAGCTCAAAAGGATTAGGCTGAGACTGAATTAGATTGATGATAGATAAGACTCAAAGTTAGCTCAGATTTTTGATTTTTGTTTGCTTATGATCACAAAAGATGGTATTTTGTGCACACAAGTAGACTTTTATGTTTATTTTTGGGTTTGATTTGGAGTTTTTGTTTGTTTTGTGAGTAAATGTCTTTATGTGTAAGATTTAACAGACTAACTTTTCCTCTTATGTGAGTAGTATTTGTTTGTTACTTCAGGTTTTGCATGTAAGTGTTTGTCTTCTGTGTCTAGGACTTAACTGACTGAACTAACGGACTATAAGATAGGAATAAACATCAGGACTAAAATATTATTTCACAAATAATATGAAACAATATTAGGGTAAAATCAACAGAATTGTCAACTAATATTTTGTTCTGTTTCTGAGTTTGTTTCTGTCTCAGCTGAGAGAGGGACGTCTGGGGACAGTGTTTGGTTGTTCCCGGCACAGCATCGGTCACATGCTTCACCTCACTCCAACCAGAGAGACAGGTCTAAGAGCAGGAGGAGGGGGAGAAGCATCGGAAGGGGTGCTGTGGATGGGAACGACGAATCAGACGCCTAAGAAGTCCTCTCTGACTGATGCTGACTCAAACAATCAGATAAGTGGGAAACACTCTGAAAATAAGCAGTTTAATTTTTCAAATTTGAATAATAATCATGTTTAGGTTCATTTGAAGGGTTTAAATTAAACAGTAAGGGAAGTTACTGTAGCATGTTTAATGTTTACATCAAAGAAATGCAAATCTGTTTGATTCTGAATATAACTAGTTATACATTATTTCAATAGTTAATTGTGATGTTTTCATTTCTGACACAAGAAAATTACAGTAATAGGACTGTCTTCAGCAACAGTTTTCATCAACTGCTGAGGTTTTCCTTTGGGTTTACTGAACTAAGTTTGAAATGTATTAACAAATGTGTACTTTGTGTGTTTTGTTTGAGGGAAACACCTAAAACACCACTTTTGATGCTAAAAAGCTCAGAGTTCATTCCTGTGAAGAAGACGCCCACTCCCACTCCCACCAATCATCAACCAGCAAATCAGCAGGCCAAACCAAGCCAAACTAAGCCAAACCAGCAGGCCAAACCAAGGCTAAATGCTGCAACGACAGAAGCAATGATGCAAAGGGTCATCCAGAGGACAGACTCAAATCAACAACTTGACTCTGTGTGTTTTTGGGACATTTTGCAGATTTCCAAAACATCTGAAAGACTGGGTTGACCGAAGACATCACCTTTGTGCAAAGATCTGAGGACTGGAGGTTTCCAGTTTTTGCTGTCGGTTCTAAAGTGTGTGAACAGGACAGAGGCTTCTGGACATGATGGGGCTGTGCAGGATGGGGCTGGACGTTGCTGGCTGCAGAAGACATTGGGGTGTGGAGGCGTGTCTACAACAGGCGTTACTGGACAATAGGCTTTTTGGTGTGGGGTGTAATTTGTTGACACATTTCAAGTTAATACATTTCAGGTGAAAACATTTCAAGTTAATACATTTCAAATGAACGTTTAGTTTATACATGTTGATGCTACATTAATTTACATGAGTAAATTGGGTATTTGTGTCTTTTTCATTTCATACACATGAATAATTAGGAATTATGTTTAGTTATTGAGCCATTTTTAATGTCTCAAACAGGGGGGAGATATGGTTTATAGGGGAGCAATTACATATGAATATGAAATGATCTCTAAAAAACTTTTTTTGAGTTCTTTTCTGTGTGTGTTTCTGTAACCAATGTGATTTTTATAAGACACATGTGAAGAGGGGTCTCTAAGTTGAGTTGATGCAACTTGGATTCAAATGTAATACTGTGTTTGTATTAATTTCATTGTGTTCCATCTTTAAGTTGGTTTACTAAACATTGAATGTGATTAATTCTTTTAATGAAAAAAAGGAGGGAATGTTAGTAGAGTTGTTGGATTTTCATTAAAGTGAATTAGAATATATTCAAGGTTTAGATAGCTACTGTGTGATGGGATGGGATGGACGCATCAGCAGCATTCTCCCATCCCCCCCAGGCATTAAGCACAGGAAGTTAAATTAAGAAGAGCGCAGAAAACATCTGTTTAGAGTAGCCTCAGGCTTATTCACACAGGGGCTATTTGTTTGTCCTGAAACAGAGAAGGTATTGTCTTCACCTAAGGATGTTGGGGCATGTGTTTCAAATTATCAGGGTATAAGAACAGAATTCTTGGTCCATTTCTTTGTCACTCTTCTGCTGTTTTCCATCCAGCAGAGACCCGGACTAGATTGTAGTCTGTAACTTGTCTGTTTGTGCTGATGTCCAGATAACCTGTAGTTTTGAACCAGCGGCTGACAACATGTATTAAAGAGATTATGTTGTTGAAATGTGACTAGTTTATTCACATGAACCTAAACACCTCCTACCCAGGGACGTGCAGTCAGGGGAGGCAGGGGAGGCAGAGCCTCACCTGCCATTATTGGAAACTAATAATTATTTTAGTTTAAATATATAATTTATATCCACTGTCCTATGCTTTTAATGTATATTCGGCACGGTTCCCATCAGTTTTGATCATTTCTGAAGTCAAAATCGCCGAAATCCCGTTATTCCTATTCAAAGAGACGAGGTGAGGCAGCGCTCCTGCGTGCCTCACCCCAGACCGCTCCCTCACAGTGTGTGTGTGTGTGTCTGAGTGCACTCAGCTCGTGCAGTTGATATATCACCGTTTGTTTCAAATATCCTGCTTTAAAAACATTTTTTAAACTCCTCTTAGTGTTTAGTAGTGTATTGCACGTATGTGTGTACAATTTATATTTAGTTTAAGTCTTTTGATCGTAGATGAACACACAAGGAAAAAGCTTGGCGTGAGGCAGGCGGTATCTGTGCCTCACCGCTAGGGGTGATAGTGAGCATAAAGTTCATACCAGAGTTGCTAACAAACAATCAGCCCAAAATGCTATTTCTTTTGCTGGAAAATGGATGATTTGAATGAAGATTTTTTTTCTCAATTGGACTTTCAAACAAAGAAAGAATTAATATAGACTGGGAGACCACCACTGGACTTACGAGGTTAGTCCGGCTGCGGGGGAGGAGTTTGTTAATCTGTGTTTTATGTTGAACATTGACAGATACCGGCAAAGTAGTGCTTTTCCGAAAAACACTGATTCAAACACTGCTCAAGAGTTCTGCAACTTGTTTAAATTATTGTTTATGTTCCTCGCGTCTCTCTCTCCTCGCGTCTCCGTCTCTCTCTGCTCCTCGCGTCTCCGTCTCTCTGCTCCTCTCTGTCTCTCTCTGCTCCTCTCTCCTCGCGTCTCTCTCTCCTCGCGTCTCTCGCACCCTGCGCTTCTTAAAGATGTTGTTTGATGCGGAGCAGAGTCAGCAGCTAGATTTGTTGTGAGATTATTAAAAGAAGCTGGTTCTCTTATCTTTACAGTATATAAAGTTTGTGGATGTCATTGCATTGGTGATTAAATGCTATTTTATTTGAATAATGATTGTAAATCTGACTTTTAAAGTCAGTGCCTCCCCAATCACAAACCTCACCGCACGTCCCTGCTCCTACCCACTGATGTATCCTTCAAATCTGCTCCAAAAGTGGGCGTTCCCGGCCCGCTGCCTACGCTGCCCAGCTTGAAACTTTGAATTTGGACACCCCTGCAAAGACCGTCGCTTGCGGAAGTGACGTCAAAATGCCTTCGAATCCACCCTACGTCGCTTGTTGCCTACCAATTTGGACACAGCCAAAGTGTCCAGATCCATTGATGTTGGCTTACCCAAAAATTTGCCATTCACTGACTTGTGGTGCGGTGAAGCTTGACCACGTCAGACGCGTGCTGCTCATAGTTGTAAACAACAATACATACTGTACTTTCACTGTTGTCCTCTTTCTTTGTTCTCACTTGAACACGGCATTTCTCCACTGTGTTTCTTTGTTTTCCTTTAACGTTTGTTAGGTAGCTTAGCTTTTTACCACTTAACCACTCTTGATGCACTGGCCTTTACAATCGGTGTAGAAGTTAAAGAAACACAGATTACTCACCTCGATACAAAGTGTCCCTAGGGTCTTCCCTTTGCATATCCGGAACAGCGTTGTGCTTATCCTCGTGCTCTTGTTGGTGGCTGGCAGCAGTTTGAGGAATATGCGCAAAATCACCAAGGACTATAGCGGACTCATCTGTGAGACATAAACAATATACACAGGTCAGGATGATTACATGTGTCATTCAGGCCAAGTACAGTAAGTGATGAGGAAAACAAGAGAGGGATGCATATTAGAGCCCTGCACGGGCATATTATCTGGGCCCCAGCCCGGCCCGGCCCGATATGGTTTCTGAATTTTCAGGCCCAAAACCCGCATCAAGCCCGACGTATTTTTATATTTTTTTACCTCCTATAATAATGTTTTAGCGTAGTATATAGTGCCGCGCACTGATATGAACACAGGCTTGGCTAGAGGGCGGAGTTATACATGGTAGTGATCTGTTGCAATGAGTTCTGTGTGTGCGGAGTGAACGGTCGCAGCTGTAAGATACACGGCTGTATGATACACAGCTGTATGATGCCCAGATGCCGCAACACACTTGTGAGTAACGCTATGTGTCGTCAATGACAACACTACACAGAATAACAAACACTACAGTGTGATAGAACGCTATATTCAGTGGGTGCGTTCGTAGATGTAATCTGCCACTCTGAAAGTGCGCGAGCCCGGCCCGTGTCCAAGGTCATTATACGGTCATCGGCCCGAAGCCTGGGCTATTGGGAAGATTGAGACATTTCCCAGTGGGCCGTTCAGGGTGAGTCCATGTTTGATTTTGGAATCTGGTGAATCTACAGTATTGTGGAGGTCATGATCTCCAAGTTGACCATGAGATCTTCAAAGATGAGTTGTGCAAGTTTAACAGAGTTCTGCGTAAAACGAGGGAAGCTTATTTTTATGAAACCATTGAAGGCTGTAGTAACAATCTACTTGGGCTGTTTTCAACAGTTTACAGATTAACAAATCCCCCTGTTAAAATACCATCAAAACTTACCTCCAAATCTAAATGTAATGAGTTTGCACAGTTTTTTAATGAGAAAGTTCAAGGCATCAAAAACGCCATCACCTCTACGGCAGAAATAGCAATCCAACAGCCAGTGAGGCTTTTTGAGCTGACGCACTTTACACCTGTACATAATGAAACTGTCCAAGAGTCCAATAATCTCTAGTCTGAGTTCCTCCACATGTAGTCTGGATGTATCACCTCCTAGATTTCTTAAGTCTGTCCTGAGCAGTCTTTTACTTCCACTTACGCAAATAGTGGATATGTCTCTTAAATCTGGTACATTCCCAATGGCCCGGAAAACGGCAGTCATCAGGCCCCTCCTAAAAGAGAGGAGTCTGGATGCCATGGTACTAAACAATTACCGGCTCATTTCAAATCTGCCATTTTTGGGAAAAATTCTTGAAAAAGTTGATTATCAACAACTTAATGAATATTTTATAATCAATAATGCTCTTTATATGTTCCAGTCCGGCTTCAGACCCCACCACAGCACTGAGACCGCGCTAGTGAAGGTAACAAGTGACATAAAACTTAACACTGATGCAGGAAAAGTCTCGATCCTTGATCCTCGAAGTGCTGCTTTCGACACTGTCGACCATGGCATCCTCTTACAGAGACTAGAGGACTGGGTTGGTGTGGCTGACACTGCCCTAAGTTGGTTTAAGTCCTATCTAAAAGACAGAAAGTATTTCTGTGTCTCAGACCATCTGGCCCTAACCTGCGGAGTGCCACAGGGATCAATCCTGGGGCCTCTTCTGCTCAATATTTACATGCTGCCGTTAGGTCAGTTAATACGCAGTAATAACATATCCTATCACAATTACGCCGACGACACTCAGATTTATGTGTCCTTGACAGCAGTGGACTCACTCCTTCAATGTATCCAACAGATCAGTGAGTGGATGCAAAATAACTTTCTCCAGCTAAACTGAAATGATTGTCTTTGGTCCAGAGAAACAAAGAGAGAGCGTTATCTGTCACCTACAGTCTCTCTCCCTAAAACCATCAAATCAGGTCAAAAATCCAGGAGTAATATTGGATTCAGACTTAAATTTTAATAGCCACATTAAATCGGTAACATCAGCAGCTTTTTACCAACTAAAAAACATTGCCAGGATCAAAAACATAGTGTCTAAAGAAGACTTTAGATTCTTATCCATGCATTTGTCTCCAGTCGATTAGACTACTGCAATGGCTTGTTCACTGGGCTTTCCAAACAGCTGCAGTACATCCAAAACGCAGCAGCTAGAGTCCTGACTAGAACCAGGAAGTATGACCACATTAGTCCAGTTCTCAGGTCTCTGCACTGGCTTCCTGTGGCTCAGAGAATAGACTTTAAAGTAGCGCTGATTGTGTACAAGTCTCCATGGCCTCTCACCAATGTACATAGGTGACATGTTGGTCCCATATGAACCAGCCCGGACTCTGAGGAGCACGGGAACGGGCCTCCTGCTGATGCCCAGAGTCAGAACAAAAAAAGGCTGCATTTCAGATTTATGCAGCTAGGATTTGGAACAGTCTTCCTGAAAATGTGAGACAGGCCACTTCTATGGCAACTTTTAAGTCTAGGTTAAAAACGGTTCTGTTTAGCTGTGCATACAACGGAATGATTTTATTTTTAGGTGCACTATGGCTGTTTATGATTTTAATCCCATGTGTGATTTTAATGTTTTAATCTTTTTCTTACTTGTGTGATTTTATTTTTGATGTTTAAAGAAAAAAATGTGATCTCATTGTGTGTTTTTAATGCTCTTTGTGATTTTAATTGTATTTTTAATGTTTGTGTGGATTTTAATGTCTTGGATTTATGCATGATGCGCCTTGTGTTGCCTTGTGTAGGAAAGGCGCTCAACAAATAAAAGTTGATTGATTGATGATGCATAGGACATGCAAGCATGGTGCATGCAGGAATGGGGGGATGATTTTATGCCATTATAATTAGTGACTATGATAAACCTTGGTGATAATTCAACAATTATATCAATAGTTTGAGCACTGTTAGTGCAGCAAAAAAGTTTTGTTTGTGCTGCTTTTGTTGTTGAGATATCATCGACTCTCTTATAGTTCAAATTGGGATCACCCAGCCCCTTATTGAGATCCAAAACGAGTCAAAATTGTGTCAATCGATAAGGCTTTGTTTGTGCTGGTTAAAGTTCTGTTTGTACCATCAAATATCAAAATATTGTTTGTCCAGAGACCAGATACCAGAAAGACCTTTTACCAATGGTCTGTGTGGTCATCAGTTTTGAGAAATATTATAATATTATATTTTATATATATATATATATATATATATATATATATATATATATATATATATATATATATATATATATATATTATATAATACAGTGCGAAAGTATTCGGCCCCCTTGAACCTTTCAACATTTCGCCACATTTCAGGCTTCAAACATAAAGATATAAAAATAAATTTTTTTGTCAAGAATCAACAATAAGTGGGACACAATCGTGAAGTGGAACGAAATGTATTGGATAATTTAAACTTTTTTAACAAATAAAAAACTGAAAAGTAGGGCGTGCATTATTATTCGGCCCCCTTGCGCTTATACTTTGTAGTGCCACCTTTTGCTGCAATTACAGCTGCAAGTCGCTTGGGGTATGTCTCTATCAGTTTTGCACATCGAGAGACTGGAATTCTTGCCCATTCTTCCTTGCAAAACAGCTCGAGCTCAGTGAGGTTGGATGGAGAGCGTTTGTGAACAGCTTCAGCTCTTTCCACAGATTCTCGATTGGATTCAGGTCTGGACTTTGACTTGGCCATTCTAACACCTGGATACGTCTATTTGTGAACCATTCCATTGTAGATTTGGCTTCATGTTTTGGATCATTGTCCTGTTGGAAGATAAATCTCCGTCCCAGTCTCAGGTCTTTTGGAGACTCCAACAGGTTTTCTTCCAGAATGGTCCTGTATTTGGCCCCATCCATCATCCATCCATCAATTTCAGCCATCTTCCCTGTCCCTGCTGAAGAAAAGCAGGCCCAAACCATGATGCTGCCACCACCATGTTTGACAGTGGGGATGGTGTGTTCAGGGTGATGAGCTGTGTTGCTTTTACGCCAAACATATCGTTTTGCATTGTGGCCAAAAAGTTCGATTTTGGTTTCATCTGACCAGAGCACCTTCTTCCACATGTTTGGTGTGTCTCCCAGGTGGCTTGTGGCAAACCAGACTTTTTATGGATATCTTTGAGAAATGGCTTTCTTCTTGCCACTCTTCCATAAAGGCCAGATTTGTGCAGTGCACAACTGATTGTTGTCCTATGGACAGACTCTCCCACCTCAGCTGTAGTTATCTGCAGTTCATCCAGAGTGATCATGGGCCTCTTGTCTGCATCTCTGATCAGTCTTCTCTTTGTTTGAGATAAAAGTTTGGAGGGACGGCCGGGTCTTGGTAGATTTGCAGTGGTCTGATACTCCTTCCATTTCAATATAATTGCTTGCACAGTGCTCCTTGAGATGTTTAAAGCTTTGTAAATCTTTTTGTATCCAAATCCGGCTTTAAACTTCTCCACAACAGTATCTCGGACCTGCCTGGTGTGTTCCTTTGTCTTCATGGTTCTCTCTGCGCTTTAAACAGAACCCTGAGACTATCAAAGAAAAGGTGCATTTATACGGAGACTTGATTACACACAGGTGCATTCTATTTATCATCATCAGTCATTTAGGACAACATTGGATCATTCAAAGATCCTCACTGAACTTCTGGAGTGAGTTTGCTGCACTGAAAGTAAAGGGGCTGAATAATATTGCACGCCCCACTTTTCAGTTTTTTATTTGTTAAAAAAGTTTAAATTATCGAATAAATTTCGTTCCACCCAACACTGAGTGACACCCAAACTAACATTCTCAATCTAATGTTTATGGTCCTATGGTGGTTCGATCAAACTGAACAAAACGACAGCCCTGTCCTGACAATGACTTCTTTCTTCTTGACCTTTTTGCTGTGAAGCACAACCGCTAACCACTGCACTACCATGCTGCTTAGTTGTAACCATATTCAAATTTACAAAATTTAGAGAACAATAGAGCAGCAACCATACGGAGAGCTGATTGGCTGTGGCAGGGGTAATCCACGCCGATTTACTTCAGTGTGATGTAGCTGCCCTGTGGTTGTGTTCGAGGACAAACTTACATATGAATACATATTAGGCACAAGGTTCACATTGGAACAAGCTATTCAATTTCTTTCAGTGTTTCAAAAGCGGGTCCCACAGCTTCAAAGAACAGGTCTAATTATCTGTATTGTCGCATACAGTATACTGACCCACATAGAGAGAGATGTGCTCAGACTGAACAATGCCAAAATCCTTTGTTTGATTCAAGCAACGCCACTGGGAAAAAGAGACAATGATCAGTTAGATCTAAATAGTGAAAGACAACAGTGTTTCTGTTGTCTATTACTTACTGCCACTGCAACATGGTCGCCGTCCCCCGTGTTGTGTTTGTGGATCACCTCAAAAAAATACTTGATACGGGTAGTCAGCCTAGAATTGACAAACATGTTGGGAATGAAGGACTGCGAGTGGGTTTATCATGGGTTATTTTAACTGCTAGGTATACAGGACACATTGATCTCCCATGTGTCCTTGGAACAGCACCAATGCCCCAAGTAGATAAAGTGGCAAGAGCTCTGGCGTGTGTCTTCTTCTCTGTCTGGTGCACACTGGGGAAGTCTTGCAGTTTTTCCAATGTGGGATTTACCGCAAATGGCAAATAAATTCTTGAATCTTGAATGAGGGTGATGCTAAGATAAGCGCTCGCACCCATACACACCCATTTACACACCACTGCACACTCACACACCTGAAAACTATGTGGTGGCAAATGTGTGGCACTGTTGTCTGTCTTGTTTGTCTTGTCTTTGTCTGTATGTCGGAACCTGTGTTGTCTATATTTTCATAATGAAAAAAACAAAACACAAAAAGCATTAAAGGTTTTAACACGTCCTGCCTCATCACTCTGACATACATTTGTAAAAATGTAGATGTGTCTATTTTAGTTGAGGGAACAATGTTGTAACATGGACATAGTTCCGGCACATTCATGACAATACATGGAACTAACCTTATTGGCACAGATTTCTGATGTATAAATTTATCATATTCTCCAGGAGCTGTCCATTCAACACCAGTCTGGAAGCACAAGAGTTGTTAGACGCTGACCTGCATGTATGAAAGCTGGGAACTGAGTGGAGGACAGCAGACACACCTTCCCCACCCAGGCACGAAGGACCACGTTCAGAGGCGACTCGTCAGAACTCAACCACAGCTCAGAGTTTTTTGCAGAATCCAGAGCAAATATGTACTCTCCTGAAAGATTTTTTATTTTTACACCGTTTACTATCCTTTTAAAGCATGTATGACAACACATTTGACTAATTTCAATCTAACATAAGGTAGTTAAAGCTGGATTACCTAACTTTATTTTTGCATTTATTTGGAAAATTCAATCCATATCCATGCAGTGTATTGGGATATGCGTTCTTTTGAAGAATAAGTAGTGCTGGTTTGTACTGGAGTGTAATTTTATTTTAGATCGATTTTCGCGCAAAGCGGAAGAGAATTTATTTCGGGACCAGATTGTAACCAATCACAGCGGACCACTGGCCCTCACTTTCTTGAGAAAATCTACAGGTCTGTCGTTAGCACAGACAGCTGAGGTAAACGAGCATCATGGCGAACCTGAAAGTCCCTGTATTTTCGTTACAGGTTACTGCTTATACAGCGAAACAGCCATCCAAAAGATCTGGGATATGATGTACATATCAAGTACATACATGCATACTGTATGTAGTTACCATCAGCCGGAGGATGCAGATAGCCAAATATTCTAAGGCCGTATTGGTTTTGCTGAGGGGCCAGTGCCAGCTTGGGGACTGTGGTCCTGACCTGAACAAACACAAACGAATTAGTTGCATAGTACATATCTTTTATTAATACATATTCACATGCATGGGTTAATGTAGCCGCCCCCTGGACTGCCACTCCTCCCCCGCAGACTGCCACCTTAGCATGGTGGAGGAGTTTGAGTACTCTGGTGATCCTGGGAGTTACAGTATGTTGTCTGGGGGTTCATGCCCCTGGTAGGACCTCATATGGCATCAGGACTTGGGTGACGAGTCAGACTGTTTTAGTTGTCATTCTTACTTCCTGTTTTATTTTGTATTTTTTCTCCTGTGTCTTTTTGTTATACTTCCTGTTCTGTTTATTGGCTGTCCAGCTCTCATGTGTTTAAGATTAAGAGATCCTTTAATTGTCCCACAGTGGGGAAATTTCAGTGTTGCATCACAGGTTATAGGACAGTAGGAAAGAGGAGCACAGAGCACACGTTAAGTCGATGTTGCTCTTTCAGATCATTTCTGTGTTTTTTTATTTTTTTTTGACATGGGTTTCACTAACAAACCACCGGTGGACTCTGCAACTGTTCGAAGAAGGCGCATAAATGAAAATACTGAGCTAACTCACTTTGCACCTGTAAATGATCATACTGTCCAAGAGATAATCTCCAGTTTGACCTCCTCCACATGCAGCCTGGATGTACTACCCACGAGATTTCTGAAGTCTGTTCTGAGCAGTCTGTTACCTTCACTCACACAGATAGTAAACATGTCCCTTCATTCTGGAATATTCCCAACGGCCCTGAAAACTGCAGTCATCAGGCCCCGGCTAAAAAAGAGCAGGCTGGATGCTACGGTACTTAATAACTATCGTCCCATCTCAAATCTGCCATTTATGGGGAAAGTCCTTGAGAAAGTTGTCTACCTACAGCTTACTAGATTTCTTATAATCAACAACTCATTTGATATGTTTCAGTCCGGCTTTAGACCCCACCACAGCACTGAGACTGCTCTTGTTAAGGTTACAAACGATATCCGGCTGAACACTGGCGCAGGCAAAGTCTCAATCTTAATCTTGTTAGATCTGAGTGCTGCCTTTGACACCGTCGACCATGAGATCCTCTTACAGAGACTAGAGGACTGGGTTGGCGTCGCTGGCACCGCCCTAAGTTGGTTTAGGTCTTACCTTGAGGACAGGAAGTACTTTTTGGAGATTGGAAACTGTGTCTCAGATCATATGGCCCTGACCTGTGGAGTTCCACAGGGGTCAATCCTGGGACCTCTTCTGTTCAATCTCTACATGCTGCCGTTTGGTCGGTTAATACGCAGAAACAAAGTGTCCTATCACAACTATGCAGACGACACTCAGATCTATGTCTCACTGACTGCAGGAGAACATGGACCAGTGGACTCACTCCTTCACTGTATCCAACAGATCAGTGAGTGGATGCAAAACAACTTCCTTCAGCTAAACGCAGACAAAACTGAAATGATTGTCTTTGGTCCCCAGAAGAGTCCCTTCAAACAAGGTCAGAAATCTAGGGGTAATACTGTAAGTAAGTAAGTAAGCTTTATTTATATACCGCCTTTCACAGACCAGAGTCACAAAGCGGTTTACAATTGTTATTTTTGGGCACTTGTCCTCTCACTCCACACAGAGATGGGAGCGGGGTCGCCGAACAGGAGGCGCATGCCAGACCTATTGTACATATTTTTAGTGGTAGGGGAAACCGGAGTACCCGGAGGAAACCTACGCAGACACGGGGAGAACATGCAAACTCCACTCAGAAAGGCCCTGGTCCGGCCAGGATTCGAACCCAGGACCTTCTTGCTGAGAGGCGAGAGTGCTATCCACTCAGCCACCGTGCCGCCCAGCACTGGACGCAGACTTAAATTTTAATAGCCACATCAAATCAGTAACATCAACAGCTTTTTACCATCTAAAAAACATTGCCAGGATCAAAAACATAGTGTCTAAAGCAGACTTGGAGATTCTTATCCATCCATTTGTCTCCAGTAGGTTAGACTACTGCAATGGCCTGCTCACAGGTCTGTCCAAACAGGCTGTAAAACAGCTGCAGTACATTCAAAATGCAGCAGCTCGAGTCCTGACTAGAACCAGGAAGTACAACCACATTAGTCCAGTTCTCAGGTCTCTGCACTGGCTTCCTGTGGCTCAGAGAATAGACTTTAAAACAGCTCTGCTTGTGTACAAGTCTCTCCATGGCCTCGCACCAAAATATATTAGTGACATGTTAGTCCCATATGAACCAGCCCGGACTCTGAGGAGCACAGGGACTGGACTCCTGTTAGTGCCCAGAGTCAGAACTAAACATGAGGAGGCTGCTTTTCAGATTCATGCTGCTAAAATCTGGAACAGACTTCCTGAATATGTGAGACAGGCCTCCTCTCTGACAATGTTTAAAACCAGGTTAAAGACAGTTCTGTTTAGCTGTGCATACAACTAAGGGACTTTATACTTTTAGCTTTCTTTTTAATGTTCTGTGATTATTTATGATTTTAATGCTTTCTTATTTTGTTCAGCACTTTGAATTGCCTTGTGTATGAATTGTGCTATATAAATAAACTTGCCTTGCCTTGCCGTTAAGTGAAAAAAATAATCTAACTCTAGCATCAATAATAAGTATAAAATCTCTATCTTGACAATATAATAGATGTAAAAATTTAAAATTGACAAAATAAGAGGCAAGTTTCACCTGTATGTCCCTGTCTGTATTTAAACCCTGTGCTCCTCTCCTCTTGTTGTCAGTTCATTGTATTCTTGTCCCTGCATTTTGATTCTGAATTCCTGTTTCATCCTGGATTTTGTTATTTCAGAGTTCTTTTAAAATAAAATAAAAAAGCTCTGCAAGAGTTCTAATTTTGTTTGGTACCCGTGACATAGATGGATAGATAGATAGATACTTTATTGATCCCTGTAGAAGAAATTCAAGTGTCCAGTAGCAACAAAGATAAAGAATTAAAGAAGCTATACCCGATTTTTTTTTCTAAGTAGTTCATAAAAATGTTTTTTACTACATACAAGTTGTATCATAATACATCATTTAATTGAAAACTTGAGGTAATTGATTCAGCTGTGTAAGAATTACAAGCAGTGAAAAGTGCTGAGTAGAGTCTGAGCGGGCCGCTCTTTCTCCTCCGCTCACAGAACGAGCAGCGAACAGCCTGCGTCCTCTAGCCCCTACAGCGCTGCTTAACACCAGGACTTCCACTTCAAAATTCAAATATAATTCTAAAATAAAAAATGATGAACAAAATAATTGAATAAAAAAATGTGAACAAATATTAGACAACCCTTGTAATTCGAAATGTATTTAATGACTGCAAATAAAATAGTTAGCTCCCAAAGGTTTCACCGGGACGTGCTAGGCAGGTAACAACTAAGCTAGCTAGTTGTTTCATGGTAACTTCCGGGTTTTTCGCAATCGCTTTTTGTCACATTGAAACAGTATTTTTGTCATGAAAACGTTAACAGCAAATTCTGAAATCATCCGTGCATGTGTGTTAAGGATGTATATGTGTACTGTATTGTCCGATTGACGTTTAATGGTGTTGATTGATAGATATGTAGTTATTTATTGAGCGTGGCTAGCTCCGCTAGCTTCTCTACACTGACGAGTGTGTAGTGACAGGTGCTGATAGCTTGTTCTTGCAGAGTAATGGCAGTATTTTACACACCTGAATTACAAACAGAGGTTGCATTGGGGCTTCGGTCATTATTGGTTTGAGAGTTCTGTTATCAAGAAAAAATGATCGGAAGAATTGCTGCTGCTGCTTTGAGGAGCTCTATAACACATTATAATTAAATATTAGAATATATTCTAAGGTTTTAAATTAATACATTCGGACGCGAAACTAGCGGTATTCTTTTACTTATATATTGTGTTAGCAGTGCGTTGCTTTAGTGCCATTTCATCAGTGATTGTTGCACAGCTTACAAGAAGTTGCGCTAATGCTAATGTTAGCATATGTATCAGATCGCAAATAAAACTAGGTGGCTCTGTGTTATGAGAGCGTAGGGGAAATGAGAAGCCATTGAGCGAGTTGGGGGGCGGTGCTAAACATTCAAACATTGCAGAAACGGGTATAGCGCCTTTAAATTGATCATTCTTAAAAGCTAACAATAGTAAAAAATATGCAACAAAGATGAAGCGCAGTCCAAAGTCACAATGGAAAGCACAACGGGAAGATCCGTGACATCCCCATGTGTGCAAGGCCTGGGGTTGGGGCTCTTAAGCGAGTGTCTGGTGGCCGGCCCTTTGCCCATGGGCCTGGCCAGGCTCAGCCCGAAATGACAACGTTGGCAAGGGCTCCGGTGGACCAACCACCCACAGAGGGATCCATGGCGGGATGTTGCAGAGAAGACTGGGCGGCAGTCCTCGACAAACTAGTCCACACACAACATATGGCTCATGGGATGTGGAATGTCACCTCACTGGGAGGAAAGGAGCCTGAGCTTGTGGGGGAGATTGAGAAATATTGATCAGACAGCCGATCAGAGAGGTGAATGAAAGAACCCAAAATACAGGACTGAAAATAATCTAATGATATAAATCCATAATGCCAAAACAAAAAAACTTCCAAACTGAAAACAAGACAGGACAAATGTGGGAAGAGACAATAGACGGACTACAAGTGGGGAAAAGCACAGGGTGTAAATTCACATAGGTGAATCTCATTAGGGCGGGGCAAACAATCAACAGGACAGACAGGAAGCAAATATATAGCAAAATTAAACCAGGTCAAAATGATTACAAACCATGACAGTATTCCTCCTATAGAGACAGCTCCCTCCCAGATGTACCAAGATACACAAGCCCGGGAGGGTGGTGCGGGATCAGGAGGATGGAGCAGAGATAGTTCAATGTTTCTGGAAGTCCACAATGGCACATCCGAAGTGATCTGGCCATGACAACAATAAAACACGAGACAAAAACTTTGTCTGGCAATGGTTCCAGGCGATGCAAAACTGAGGTCGTCAATGGGCAGCAGGTGTTGTACTCAAAACAAAAATCCGTACTTGAACACAATGTTGAGGGTGGTGTAGCAAGAGCCAGGTGTGGATGGTAGTTCAAGGGGTCCGGGACTCTGATATTCTCCTGGGGGACTTCAACGCCCATGTGGGAAATGCCAGTGACACTTGGAGAGGGGTGATTAGGAGGAATGCCCCCCCCTGATCTCAACCCCTAGCGCTGTTTAGTTGTTGAACTTCTATCACAGTTTGTCCATCACAAACACCATGTTCGAACGCAAGGGTGTCCTCCAGTGCACGTGGCACCAGGACACCCTAGGCCGGAGGTCGACGATCGACTTTGTTGTCGTGTCATCTGACCATCGGCCACATTTCTTGGACACTCCGGTGAAGAGATGGGTGGAGTTGTCAAATTATCACCACTGGATTCGGGGGAGGGAACCTGTCAGACCTGGCAGACCCAAGCATGTAATGAGGGACTGCTGGGAATGTCTGCCTGAGCCCCCTGTCAGACGGACTTTCAAATCTTCCGGGAGAGCTTCTCCCAGGTCCCGCGGGAGGGAGGGGGGACATTGAGTCTGAGTGGACCATGTTCACCTCCTCTATCGCCAAAATGGCAGCTTAATCTGGTGCTGGTACCAGCGACAAGCAAGGGATGCGGTTAGGCGGAAGAAGGAGTCCTGTCAAGCCATGATGGTTCGTGGGACTCCTGTCCAGGCTAGGCCATGCATACAGTGGCCCGAGCTGTTGCAGAGACAAAAACCCGGGACTGAAAGGAGTTCGCAGAGTCCTTTTGGACTCTCCTGTTGGAATCACAAGGCTGCGGGTGTGGATGAGATCCGTCCTGACTATCTGAAGTCTATGGATGTTGTAGGACTGTCTTGGCTGACACGTCTCTGCAGCATTGCGTGGCGATTGGAGACGGTGCCAATGGAGTGGATGGCTGGGTAAACCAGTCATACAAGACGTAGCAAGACATGCTGTAGCACCCCCCTCGTAATTAAGGTAAGTAAGGAAGTTTTTGTAAGAGTCACATTCAGTACATTGACTGTAATCTCTGCAGGGACAGAGATTTACACAATCTCTTTACACAAAGCCCGATAAGAGCTTACATGAGCAATAAAAATAAAAATTATCAGCAGTGTCTGCCAACTGTTTCCCGGAACTGCATAAAAGCATTGTGACTGGTACAGAGGTGCACTGCTCCTGACAGAGGCTCGAGTGGCATTTGCAGGATGTGTCAAATGCAGAAGACAAAGTTCCCCTGCGGGGATAAGACTTGAGCTTAAAAAATTCACTATTTTTACCAAGTGTATAGAGTGACCTGTGATTGAATTACAATAGTTCATGTAAAGTCTAGAAATATCAAGTAAATGAAGAAAGATAAGATAAGATAAGATAGACTTTCTTGATCTCACACAGGAGAAATTTACATGTCACATCTGGCATGGATAAAAACACTTGAGATGCAAAAGAAAGACATGTGCAAACATGTTAAATGCAGGATATATTATGTACAATAAATAGTGGCAATTCAAAAGTGGCGAAGTCGTGTTGATGAATGCACTTACGTGTGGGTGAAGAGGGAAGTGCACATTCTTCCGGAGAGAATCCACCGAGCTGCCACACCACTCGTCAAAAATATGGAGGTTTGCACGGCCCATGTACTGCGGAAACAAGGCTTTTATTATTATTTGTTTTACCCTGTTTTCAAACACTGTATGAACTCATGTCTTGTGTCATGTCATGCACCAATAGATTTTTGGGTGTGGAGAGGGGATGTTGGGGATTTCTTAATGACAATCTATGAAATATTTAGAAAATGTATGATGCTCAGCAAATTATATTTCTGGATTGTTGTTATTCTACAGTATATGTTTGTTATCAAATACTAATTAATTCATTCAACTATAATAACTTAGAAAAAATAACAATGTCACGTATTTGCAACACAGGCAATAGACAACAAGTGACCAAACCCATTGCTTCAACAAGTCCTAGGCTTTCTGACACAAATTAAAAAACTAAAGAGGGTTCTCCAAACCGCCACGTTCTTTCTTGCAGCTCTTTAATGGGATTCAGTAATTGAACACATGCTGCTCAATATTTATATCCAAGTTACAGTCATTATTACATAGTTTGGTGAAGTTTATTATTTGACTTATTGATGGGCCATGGTGGTACCATAGCAACCAAAACACACAAAAACAGCCAAAACTCACAATTTATAAACGGCTTACATGTGCAATATTTGTGTTTGAAGTTCATGACATCACTGGAGGAGGGATTCAATTTTAGAACTAAGATTGCTTACATTATGTAGTTCAACTTTCGTAGCACTGTGCTCGCAAAATGGGGAACTTCTGGTGGTATAAAAAAGTACAGTCGGAGGCTACCGAGCTCCTGTACTGTGAAACTAGCTCAACATCCTCTTCAAGGATTCAGGGCCAGGCTTGCAACAGTCGTGTTTATTTTAGCATATACAGTACAGACCAAAAGTTTGGACACACTTTCTCATTCAATGAGTTTCCTTTCTTTTTATGACTATTGACTGTAGATTCACACCCAGACTGTGTAAGGGCTATTTGACCAATAAGGAGAGTGGTGGGGTGCTGCCAGATGACCTGGCCTCCATAGTCACCGGACCTGAACCCAATTCAGATAATTTTGGGATGAGCTGGACCACAGAGTGAAGGGACCAACAAGTGCTAAGCATCTCTGGGAACTCCTTCAAGACTGTTGGAAGACCAGAAAAAATGATATGCAACAATACTTCAGGTCACAGCAGCAGAGGTAGTGCTTGGTTCTGACCATTTTCTCAGCTCTTGTCCAAAGTGAGATGCTGAATGCTTTGATAGCATTTTTAATTTTTAGTTAGCATTCCTCAGATTTTTGCCTGATCTGCTAGTTTCAGACATAGACTGTAAATATCAACAGACATAGTCACGCCTATCTCCGCCGTTAATGTGCCACCACTTTCGCCGTCTTTGGGCAGTTTCAAAAAGGACACGGGGGCCGGAAAATGTGAAAAAACGCATTTGCGGCACTAGCCCCATTCATTTGACGAGTGCCTTCATAATTCCAACGCGACTAAACTAGACTGGTCCAAAAAAATACACTCCCATCAGCATTGACACACATGTGGGGACGTAGCGTTAGGGCCAAGAGCCAACTTTAACACCTGAAAAGTCGTTTTTGAGAGGTAAGAAGATGCTACACGTTGTTATTATTATCCAATTCTTATTCCGGGTCCACCCCCATAGGCCCAGGGTGGTTTTGCAAGCATATCAGCGCATGTCATTTTGGTCCAAATCTAAATCTAGTTCTCTCAAGTTGTGCCGCCTCAGCTGTTAATGATGTAATGCAAACCTGCGCATACGTGTCTCACGACAGCCGAAGCAAACCAAGATGGCGGACCTAAAGTCTGTGTATTGCTTTAAAAGTTAAAATACGAACGAATGAAGACACAAATGTCACTTTTAATGCAATTTGATGCGAGATGTTGATGGTTCCGTGTTGTGATATGTGGGTTTTAAGAAGAAGAGTTTTGTGTAAAGTTGGTTTTAAGCAGTCCACTGCTCCTGTGAAACCACACCGCTGCTGTTTGATAGCAGTCCTCGAGTTGACTGCTGCATACGTCATTTTACTGACGTAGGCCGATGACGCGTCCTGTGGCAACTTGACAGCTTACTGGTCTGTTGGGTTGATAATGTAAATAATACATTCAATTTAATGCATGTATCGTACTGTATTCAATATGTTCAAACTAAATATTTGATTAGAGTTTTTTCCCCATTCTGTGAAGTTTCTGCGCATGCGCAAATCAGATTTGTTTTCTCTTCACCAAAGTTGAAAACTCACGTAAATATGACTCTCCGTTACAAAGGGCATACAGTATATTTATATTAGTTTAACGTTCTGTCAGCGAAAATCATCCTGTGCTTTGATAGGGATTAGGGACATAGATACATCGAAAGTAAGTGAAACAAAGGCTGCATCTGATAGACCAACATGCTATGTAATGCTACAAACAGTGATTCATTTTAAATATATAGTAGGTTTTTGTTTTTTTGAGTTAAGTGCATGGGGATATTATTAACAACCGAGCGTGTTGACTTAACATTTGGAGGGAAATGCTTTGAGAAAACGCGGTCAAACTCAATGGCGCAAGCACTGATCTCACTGAATATTAAATTCCTTTTTCAACTTTGTACCAAACTCCTGGGTTCTAAATTACATTATTGGGACAAATGTTACGTACACACGTAATGTATTAATGAATACACGGTCAGATTTCCATCAACTTTTTTTAAGTAAAATTTTTGTGTGGGTTTTTGATCTATTTTTAATGTTATTATCTCATTGCCTGAACATTTCAAATAAGGCCGCAGATCCCTGTAGTGTAGGGCTAGAGTGCTGGATAAAAAGATTCAAGACGTAAAAACAGTGAATAAAATCCGCACAGCTATGTAGCTCCCATCAGTGAGCTGCAACAGCAACTGTTCGAAGAAGGCGCATAAATGAAAATACGAGTGATCTATTTATGGGAATGATAAACTTTGAGAAAGCATTGTGTTCTACTGTAGATGAACTGTTTAACTCTGTCACCTCTAGTGTTTTGAATGTTCTGGATACCGTTGCCCATGTGAAGGTTAAAATAGTGAAAATTAAGCAGAAGGCGCCGTGGGCTAAAGCAGACTCGGTCAGGGCACAAAAGAGAAAGTGCCGGAGGGCCAAGCGGAAGTGGCGCAAGTCCAACCTCCAGGTTGATTACGAGATCTTCAAAGATAAGTTGTGCGAGTTTAACCGGGTGCTACGTAGTACGAGAGAAAGGTATTTTTCTGAAATGATTGAAGGCTGCAGCAACAATCTGCGTGTTCTGTTCTCAACAGTTAATAGATTAACAAACCCCCCTGTTCAAATGCCATTAGAGCTTACTTCCAAACGTAAATGCAATGAGTTTGCTAATTTTTTCAATGACAAGGTTCAAGGCATAAAAAACGCCATTGTCTCTGTTAGCAGGCCTGGCTTTGAGCGGCTGGATGGCAGTGAGATAAACCCAAACAAAGTTGACGGAGGCAGGCTTCAGCTTGGTCCACTTATTTTTATTTTCTGTTTTTCCTTTTTTTTTAAAGTGACCAGTGCAGACAAAGAAAAGGGTGCAAAAATGCAAAACAAACCAACACAGTGGATGAAGGACAGGAGCATGTGTTCCCCAGCAGCAGGACAATGGAATGGTAAAAATGGGCGCCGTATATACTACTGGGTAAAACCAATTAAAACTCCAGGGGTATAGCATTAACATTAGCTTCTAAAAACTATGTTAAAACCCTCCATTAAAATACCAATAACCAGTTACAATAATAAAACACCCCCCTACAAAAATATACTCCTAAAACACCCTCCTACAAAAATATCTATACCAACTATGACTAAAAACAGTGCTAGATCCCCCCTCCACCAATTCATTGACTTGGTCCAGCCGGAACCATAAATGCCGGTGTTTGTGGCCCGGGGACCCTTTTGGCCCACGCACCTGGACACAAGACAGTGGTGAGTAAACACATTTTTAAAATACATATCACAGCCACACTTATATCATTCACCCACTAAAACCACACATCACACACACCCGAACCCATACCAAACACAACTAACTCAAACACCACATATATTGCACAAAGCCCCACTCAAACTGTTTTGTTTGTCTCCGCAGACCGGACTCTGGACAACCCAAGCCCTCAATAAATGTCTTTCTACCCAACAGTTGTGTGCAATTTATTATATGTGCAAATTAGCATGTGACAATATGTGTACAGTGCAATTTAAAGTGTGATGTGACATTTAAAAGGTAAATTCATAAAGTGCAGTGCGATATTACCCGTAAAGAACAGCTGTTCTTTACAGTCTCCAATCCACAGAAAACCATCCAACAGCCAGAAAGGCTCTCTGAGCTAACTCACTTTGCACCTGTAAATGATCAAACTGTCCAAGAGATAATCTCCAGTCTGAGCTCCTCCACATGCAGCCTGGATTTACTACCCACTAATGTGAGACTAATAAAGGTTTATCTTATCTTATCTTAGATTTCTGAAGTCTGTTCTGAGCAGTCTGTTACCTTCACTCACACAGATAGTAAACATGTCCCTTCATTCTGGAATATGGAAACTGCAGTCATCAGGCCCTTGCTAAAAAAGAGCAGGCTGGATGCTACGGTACTGAACAACTATTGTCCCATCTCAAATCTGCCATTTATGGGGAAAATCCTTGAAAAAGTTGTGTACCAACAGTTTACTAGATTTTTTTATAATGAACAACTCATTTTTACATGTTTCAGTCCGGCTGTAGACCCCACCACAGCACTGAGACTGCTCTCGTCAAGGTAACAAACGATATCCGGCTGAACACTGACGCAGGCAAAGTCTCAATCTTAATCTTAGACTAGATTTGAGTGCTGCCTTTGACACTGTCGACCATGATATCCTCTTACAGAGATTAGAGGACTGGGTTGGCGTCGCTGGCACCGCCCTAAGTTGGTTTAGGTCTTACCTTGAAGACAGCAAGTACTTTGTGGAGATTTGAAACTGTGTCTCAGATCATGGCCCTGACCTGTGGAGTACCACAGGGGTCAATCCTGGGACCTCTTCTGTTCAATCTCTACATGCTG